TCTCCCGGGCCGAAGTAGTCGCATCAGTCGTTACGTCTTCGAATATAATCCTACCGAATAACCGGAAACCGGGTTGTACGCTTGCGCACACGCGCCACCGTGCACGCTCGTCGACGTCGCTCTTAAGCGGACTGCGATTGTCATGGATGTTCCCCGGGCTTGGTACATACGTTCCGCTCGATTCTCTCGTTACACACACGCGCGCGCGCGCGCGCGCGTGTGTGTGTGTGCGTGTGTATATATATATATGAGCGAGCGTGGCTCCGGGCCGCGTTAACACGCGAACAATCAGGTGTACACGAAATTTACACGGGTGCGCTTAATGTGCCTGAGCGAGAGGAAACCAGCGTGAAAAGCTGTTTGCCAAGCCCCATTGTCGTAGACGCGGGAGCACGCGCGCGCGTTAAATATTACGTGTGCACATGCACACGACGGCACAGGTGTAACATGCACCAATCAGAAGCCCGCGGATAGACGCTGTTTCCGGGCAGCTGCGCCCACGAGCGCGTCGTTTCCGCTTCGTGGAAAGAGCCCGCGAAGATTGGCGTCTCGTTTTCCAGTGTAGATTGAAGGCAGAATATCGAGCAACAGATCGCGAGTTAGAATCGAGAGAGGGGAGGGGGGGGAGGAACAGATTTTGGGGAGTAGGTGGGGGGTCTCTATGGAAAATGGGAAGAGAATCGAGGATGATTTCACAGATTCGAGGATTTTGAATTTCGACGATGTGGCACGCGGGAAAGAAAAGGTGAGAGGTGAGCGTGAAATGGGATTGAAGTTGAGACGATGATTTCACAGTTCGAGGATCTTGGATTTTCATTCAGACGAATATAACCGAGTTCTAAATCGGAGTGATAAATTCGAGAATATGAGACAGAAGATTAGAATCAGAAAACGAATAATCAAGGGTTGAAAGTGATTTCGAAGTGGCGATTTGACTTTCGAGAAAACGATTTTTTCGTGGAGGGAACGATCGAAAATACAGATGGTGGTATCGAAATTAAATATATCACGCGTTTCATCGGAGAGAGATCGGCAAGAAGCAAGCCACTTTTGTTAATTAGCATTATCTGATTAAAAGGAGTCTGCTCGAAGTGCAAAGTTTGCCCGCCTCAAAAGCGATATATGAAATTTCTTCTTTTTTTTTTTTTTTTTGCACGTTTGTTGCAGATGGAACGAAAGAATTCCCACCGGTGAACGGACGGAGGAATTAAATCGTAATTGGATGGAGCTCCTTTTGCAGGGATCACTTTGACCCCCTCCAACTCTCTCTCTCTCTCTCTCTCTCTCTCTCTCT